AGATAAGAAGCCAAGTTACCCCTAGCTACATATTTTTAACATTTCCATTCTCTGCTATCAGAATTTATGGTTTGCAAGATTTGTTCTATTTCAATGCTCAGTGATTATATATTAATTGTCTCTACAAGAAAAGGATTTTTATAAAACATTTGAATATTTGAGTTCTGAAAACTGTTTACATATGGGTAGAAAATGGTATTTCCAGGCATTAATTGGGTAATATATATATATATATATTTTTTGCCATTTTTACGTGTATACTTCAGAGGCATAAAGTACATTCACAATATATGTCACCAGAGGATAATTTTTAAATAAGTAAAATTGAAGAAATTTATACAAGCTGAGTTACATTCCACTTCATATGCAACTGGATTTTAAAAGGAGTTTTCATAATTATCAGTAGGGGCACAACTAGGCTGTTTTCATAGTTGGCACCCCTAAAGCAAATGACTCATTGTCAATTACAGTTTATAGTTATATTTGAACTCTTCTTTTTCAAGACTGTGCAGGTAATTTTGGCAGTTTATCCTTGCATATTTAAAAATACTTCTGTACATAAAATATCTCATGTGTAGAAGAGCTGCTAATCCTCCAATTCACTCCAATTCCAGGTATGCTGACTTGTTTACAGATTATCCCTCTTAAGAATGGCAGTAAGCTGAAAAGATCTCCAACCTAGAAAGCAATAACTCATTCAGTACTGTGTATGTACAGATGTGCCATTAAACCACACCAAGCAAATGAAGAGATACTAATAAAGATGGAGAAAGGCCATGTACACTCAAAGGTTACTGGATCCTAACACCAAAGCCAAAAGGATGCTTTCTGAGTGAGTACTGTGTCTTGCAGAGGAAGTACTAGATGAAAACTTGTCCAAGTAGAAAGTGGCACATGTTAACTATGCATTGGCGTGATTCTAATCATTGCCTCACCTTGAGAATGAATGTTATTTTTAAAAGTTTAAGTATGGCAGCTCATGCCTGTAATCCCAGCACTTTGAGAGGCCGAGGTGGGAGGATCACTGGAGGCCAGGAATTTCTGATCAGCCTGAGCAAAAGCGAGACGCTATCTCTTAAAAAAAAAAAAAAAAAAGTTTAAGGGACAAAAGAAAATGTGTAACAGTGTTGCTGATGTGTTGTCTAGTTAATTTTTTTTCAAGGGTAACATACAAGGATCTTGGCCCCCCAAATAGTATCTACACTTAATCTCAGACCAAAGGCAGAGAAGCAATCCCAACAGCTTCTAATTAATCAGTTCACCAGCAATGATAAACTAAGACAATAATGCTTTTACTACCCTTACTTCAATAGAGCTTCCCCAGGGGCCAGAATTTCCAATGTCAAAAAGGTGATATGAAAGAGAGAGTGCAAAAGGAATTCTAACCCTTTCCACAGTCCCACGAGAAATTAAATTAGAGGCTGCACAAAGAATATTCAATTTACTTCAGTACTGTCTGCAGTAAAGATATATTCTCCAGGTACACTAGAAAAACACAGGTAATGCCACAGCCCTAGCAGACACCAGCAGGGACAATGGGATTAGCTCCAAGTCTGTCTGGAATATGTCAGTGTCCTATCAATCTCCCCAGGGCAGACAGAGACAGGCTTTTTTTTTTTTTAATTAAATCATAAACACATACATAGATCATGTATATATTAATGCATTTATGGGGTACATTGTGCTGATTTCATATAGAATTAGGAATGCTAATATCACACTGGTTAATATACCTCATCTCGTTTATTTAATTATTGTGTAAGACAGTTATACTCTATACTAATAGATTTGACGTGTACCCTTGCATTATGCACCATAGGTGTGATCCCACCATTCACCCTCCCTCATCCGACAGAGACAGGCTTGTATTTGACATCTCATCTACAGGATGAAGACCTCAGCAGTGGGGAGCACAGCTAACATCTCACCTACAGGCTTCTAAGCCCAACCCTGGGTAAAATGCAGAGCTGTTCTGATTAGGCTCTGAAGATGAGAACTTTTCTTCAAGTCTTCTGAATGCTAATTATGACCCCATCAGAGGTGTGTTTGAGTGATTTAACTATGGGAAATTTCAATAAGATGATGCCATGATCTTGTACTTAACCTTTAGTTAACAGGCAAGCAAAAAGTCTTAGAATAAGAATGTTCACAAGAGACTTCAAAACAGCCCTCTGGCCCCCTCCTAGGCTCTCTTACCTAAAAAGACGAACTACTTTGCCCTCAACGTCAGAAACATCCCTAGACTTCTATTCTCTTGAAAGGAGGAGGCTGCAGAAAAGAGATTATGTAGGCTTCATCTGTCTCCCAGTGTATTCAAGAGGAAAACATGTCACTGCAGTCAGTGTAGAGCTCAGGCCAGTAAGGCCTTGTTGCTCTGCTGGTCACTCACTACCTTGGTCAACAATAATCAAAAGTGACACCAAGGAAACCTGCCAGAAAACCTTTCCCCTTGACTCCTGGCATGTGTCACAGGTGAGGTGAGGGCAGGAAGGGCCCGCCCATGGCCTCTAATAAGGATCAGGACAAAGCAAGGTGGGTTTGGAGAGAAGAGATAGAGAAACACACAGTCCTATTTTCCCAAGGGGTGGGACTTGGGGCGGGGGGAGTACAGGCAATTTTTAAATACATAATATCTGCTCTCACTCCATTAATTCACTGGGAATAGGCTACCCCCCACTACCTTCCAAAACCTTTCCTAACTATGAAACACAGAATGTCAGTCAGTACAACCACACAGGCCACCAGAACTGGAAAACCCGTCTTCACCTTTGCTCCCCAGGCAGCAGCGAAGCAACCC